AATGATCCAAGTTATACGACCTTAAACTATAGCACACGTCCTGGCCGCATGACATTAAACTGCTTCGCATAATGGTCCAAGCTATATGACGCTAAACTATAGCACACGTCCTGACCGCATGACGTTAAATTGCTTTGTACAATGGTCCAAGCTACAGGACCCTAAATTATAGCACACTTCCTAGCCGCATGGTGTTAAACTACTTCACACAACGGTCCACGCTGCAAGACCCTAAACTGCATCGCATCATGGTCCAAGCTACATGATCCTAAGCTATAGCACACGTCCTGGTCGCATGACGGTCCACGCTGCAATACCCTAAAACTGCATCGCATCATGGTCCAAGCTACATGACCCTAAAACTATAGCACACGTCCTGATCGCATGACGTTAAATTGCTTCGCATGACGGTCCGTGCTACAAGACCCTAAACTACATAGCCTTGGTCTGAGCTATACGACCTTAAACTATAACACGCGTCCTGACCACATGACATTGAACTGCTTCGCACAATGGTCCAAGCTACATGACCCTAAATTATAGCACACGTCCTGGCCGCATGACGTTAAACTGCTTTGCACAATGGTCTAAGTTATACGACTATAAACTATAGCACACGTCCTGGCCGCATGACGTTAAACTGCTTCGCATGATGGTCCAAGTTATACGACCTTAAACTATAGCACACGTCCTGACCACATGACGTTAAACTGCTTCGCACAATGGTTCAAGCTATACAACATTAAATTATAACACACGTCTTGGACGCATGACGTTAAACTGCTTTGCATGATGGTCCGAGCTGTATAACGCTAGACTACAACACACGATCATGAAGGCATGACCTTAAACTTGCCTCCCCGTGGTCACGACGACATAACCTTAAAATCACCCAGGCAATTACCCAAGATGGCAAAGTTCTCTCTCCTCTCTTTTGAAGTTGGGAGCTATGCACAATCCAAGGCTCGAAAGGGTAAAACTCTAATTTTTATTACGCTTTCCAACTTAGGTTTACAATTGACTTGAGCTCATTTATATAGAGCAACCACAAAATAAGGGTGGTATGCTCAAACGTAAACCAAATTGTGGAAAATTACATATTAATGGGATTCACATGAAATCCCGTTTTTGGACAAAATTACCAAATTACCCCTCAGTGCTTTTGAGCAAATGATAAAACAATCCCTCCATGAGGAGCCTCTTGCCATTGCTAGACTTCGGGAGCTTTTTCGGACGCTTATGGCAATGATTTGGATGATCGATCATCGTAAAATTGATGCTTGAACTGCTCTGAACATTTTGATTTCCTTTGATCGTCTTGAAACGAATTTTTCATGAAGGGACAAAAATCCGGCCAAGTCCATGAACTTCGACCACCGATCCGGTGCAATCCACGATGTTCCAAGTCCTCATTTTGATCACAAATTAAAAGGGACATTGTCACAATGGTTTTGCACCAAATTTCATCCAATTTAGTTTCCATATGAGCATATCTCCAAATTGGGAAGTCGCCGAAAAATGGGATTCCGGCCACCTGGAAAATCTTGTCATCTTCAACCTTGAAATTCGTACTATTCGGCCGTTAATTGCATGTAAAAGCTATACCAAACTTGTGGCCCTTCGTGATGTGGTCGCAACGAACTCAATTTCATGCCGATCTGACTTACGGATCTCAAGTTATTGCATCATGAAGTATAGGATGTTTTCTTTCAAAATTCTGATTTTCATGGTTTTGGGCTCATCTTCTCTCTAGGAAATCTCTCGTCCCAGGCCACGCCATGACGCGTGCCATATGTCAAAATGATCGGCTTGTAGAGACCTAGCTTGTTCTAATTCCAAATGAGGGAGTTATGAGCACTTGAAAATCATCCCGAGGGGTGAAAACGCAGTTTCCAAAAATGGCAATTGGTTCAACGAGGTTGCACCGCAATAGTGTGAAAACTACCCATTTATGGTAATTTGGACCCAGAATGTTCCTAGGAGGTCTGGTATTGTTTTGAAACCGCGAAAATGGGGCGGTAGTTTTAAGGGGACCCTTTTCAGCATGATAGGAGCTAGATTTGAGAACCAAGTTTCATCCTGATCATATCAAAACTTATCGAAATGTGACAAAACTTTGTGAGTGTCCTTAGGGCATCCCATAATACCCTTTTCATGCCATTTGAAGCCATTTCAGTACTTTTTCAGAGGTTGCCCAGTTTTCGGCGTATTTTGTAGTGTTCCCATGGTCTGGCGGTGTCTTGGGTACCGACAGGACTAGGTCGTCACTGGCTCTCTCCTTATTTGCACCAGGGATTATAAGTACATCAAAAATGACATACAACAATGGACACACGTAACAATAAAGGACTCCCACAGTTTATAGTTCTACTCCTACTCGGTGAGCTATAAAATGCATCAAGGAATAATGGGAATGATGGTAAGTTCACGCCATTTGGTCACACTCAATGAGATTCCTTCCACGCAAAAAAAGTCCAAGAATGATTAAAAGAAAGGACCGTAATCCCATGGGCAGCAGTGTTTGTCGTTGGAAAGTCAGATAGACCCAAAGGACCCAAGCAGTCCTTCTTTTCCTTTCGTGCGTGGGCCTTGAGCACATTCTCCAGGCCCTCTTCAAAGAGAATGTGCCTCTGAGTGCACATTGACAGAGTGAATAGAAGTTTTTTTTTTTTTTCTAATGACATCCAAGAAGCACATGAGTAATGCATTAGGCTAGAAAACCAGCCATTTTGAAAGGAGGAGGTTGCCTCTGGGGCGATAAATAGCATTACACAATTCAGGATGGATCATACAGAAGCAATTTTTATGGAACAATTCATAGTTCCCTCGAGTGTTGGGAACTAATGAAGGAGAGTGTTCCCCAATAGGTAAGTATGAGGGACAACTAGTCTTTCCTTCATGTTATCCAGGTTTAACACTTGCTCTTGTGCTTTGTGCGTATTGACACGAGAACTTCTATTCATCATAATGGGCTAGCACAGTCTATGAAATATATCAACTCCAATCAGCACGATCCTTTCCCAACTTACTATAATATACAGATCAAGGGGATGTGAGCTAGAGCTTAGTCCATGAGGGTACCCCAATAAATGGGCAGAAGACTAACCTCCAACCATACTAAACATTGAATTGACATATCATGCGACTTATTTCTACATGAAAAACCTGTTAAAATTCACTTTTCCCCTTCCTATTTCCATTATAGGTTGGCTTCTCGCCATCAAGCATTTCAATTAGAATTCCAAATAGGTTTCCTTCCTCCTTTTATATACTTTGGGCAATGCACTTGACTTTTACTGCTAACTCATAATGGACTGCATTTTGTGCTTGTTTTGCTATGCATCACTTCCAATAAAATCACCTTTAATATACTTTATTAATGTTGAATAGGAACAAACAATTAATGTTGAATAGGAACAAACAAAGACCCATACCATGGTGTAAGAATATTAATTCCATAATATACAGCTCAACATTTCATATTTTTGCAAGACAAGCAATCTGTAATCAAATTTCATTCAACACATGAAAGAAAATCATTCGAAGACAACAAAAATTACCAATCTTACAAAGTTACTAAATAACATTCACTATGTTATGATGCTTCTCAAAAAAATTACCATCACAAATCCCATAAGTAATACTCTAAGATGAAAACAAACCTGGATCAAATATTTGACCATTTTAGACCTTAGCATACTCTGACTATTAACATACTACATGAGCAAAAGAAAATTGCAAAACTTATTCTGAAAAAATAATAAATTCAACAAAAATAAATAAAAGACTCGAATAGAGGAATACCCAATTACTTGCATCATTCCTAAATACCTGATTCCAAAGTGATCCTAATGTTGTGGGTTGTGTCTGCTTTGATATATCCTCGGCTGTTAACTTATGAGGAACAGGGAGTGGAGCTGCATCCTCTGTAACCTGTCTAACCCAATATGTGTACGAGGCTTGTTTACCGCCCTCTGCAACTCCACCCTCCATTTTATGACCTATAACCCATAAAAAATTTAAATTTTAGAGAGAGCTAAGGAAGTGGTGGTGGGGAGGGGTGGGGGGGGGGGAGGATGCTTAAATCCATCCGTGAAACTTAATCTTGCAAAAAAAAATTTCTTGGCCAGTAATAAATTTGCAGGCACTATCTCAGTATGGAGGAAAAACCAGAGACACATGGGGATTGAGATACTGTGAAGTCTATTACAAATAACTGAAGAAAGCACTTTGATATGAGTGCCCTACAAAGCATTAAATAAGAACCCAAAAAACAAATAACATTAACCAAAGTAACCTCAAATTGCAGATTCAAAATCCCACAAACGTGCAAAGCTTGAACTATCTCTCTGGAAACTAAAGCTAACACATAACAGCAATAATACACCAGATCTACCCTAGAAATAGAATAACCATGAAAAGGGCAAAACAAGATTCACATGGTTTAAATTTACCTGCAATTGAGGAGCTCCTACAGGAGGAAACTTTGATTGAAACTGCAGCTTTCTGATAATGGGGGGACTAAAATTTTCTGAAAAGTATGAAACAATGAATGCAAATGGATTCTAGGGTTTTCTCTGCAATGAAACCGCAAAAATGGGAACCCTAGACTCTGAAAAAAATGCCAAGGTTCTGAAAAAGCTATTTTCTAGGGTTTGTAGTGGTTGTGTTTTTTTTTGTTGTTTAATGAATAATTGGTCAAAGAAAAAATGAAAAATAGAGCTTCCAGGAAGGTGGGAGATGGTTGTCTGCTTATTTTACAGAAGATAAAACACGTTGAGAAAATTTTTGTTTTTTTCCGAGACTCTTAGAGGACGAAAAACACCCTGTAATTTACACAAATGGCACGATGATCATACACCATTGTCTATGACAATGGACGGATCAGATGATCCACTCTGGACAAAGCATAATCTGGTCAGATCCACTGTTCTTTGACACCGTGTGTACTGTGTGTTGTGACACCGTGTACCGCTTGTCCTACCAATCGCCGGCTTCTCGAACGTTCGTTCTTGCAATGGAGGGCCACCTACTTGCCTCCTTGATTCCTGTTTATTTGCATGATCCTTATGGATTTAAAGGTTTTAAAAAGGTCCGATCAAAATAGTCAAAAACTTCATTTCATAAGTCATCCAAAATTGCAACTCAAGATTTGGAAAAAAACCTTTACATCAATCATTTCGATATGATGTGAAAAACAAATTAGGATTTCAAGCTCTAAAAATAATATACATTATAATAAATTATCAAAACTGTTCGTTTTGTTTTAAAAATAAGTGTATATAGATCCGTATGATTTGTACTATTTTTTTAATTTCAAATTTTATTGTCGTTATTAAAAATTGATTTTAGAGCATCATTGAATTTTCCATCAACAAAAGTACTTTCTGGATAAGGATTTGAGGTGATGCTTTATTTTGCTTTCAAAAAGCCTAGGACTAATAGAAACCTCAGCAGGTAACCCGGCTAATGCATTTATAAAAATGATTTGGGTTGGCAGGTCGGCTGTCTAAATTTGCTATCAAGCTGATTGAACTAATCAATAAAAAATTAAACAAAAAACTATTAAAAATTTTAAAATAAAAGTGGAGCTAGTTCTCGCCGATTCATAGATGAAACTAGCTAGTTCCTGATTTTTAGGGGGAACCAAGATGGCTTAACCAGCTCTCGATCCAAATCCGTCGGATCCAATCGGATCTCCGATTTTTTAAAACCTTGCATGAGAGTGTCGCTTTCGTCATAATTTGGTTAATTTATTGGAAGGTGATAAAGTCAAGCTTGATTCATGGAGTTTTTTTTATTTTTTATGTGTTAATGGTGGGAAGAGAGGGTGGGACATTATATTTGAGTATTTTGATTGATCAACTGCAGCGAAAATATACCATACTTGGTACAAGCATAGAATACAGCAATACTTTCGTAGTTTGACCCAACATTCATTGTCTATCTCTATTCAAGAACAGAGGGTGATGAGTTTTTACTTACGGTAATACTACTTATTTTTTTAAGATAGAAATAGCTCTTCCGTTGAAAACTCAAAAAAATAGCTATTCAATTGCACCAACTTTGATATGTATGGGACAGTAGGAGGATGGATGGGCTTCCGCATGAATGGTATACTCGTGTGAGGTAGATTTGTTTGGATGTGTTTAGATCACTTGAAATTGAAATAAAACTTAAACACAAACAAACTATTTACAAAATGGTGTAGTTTCTATAAGGTTGCAACCTTAAACAATCCAATTAAGGCGTACCTCCAAATTTTATCATAACATATAATTAGGATTATCTGAAAATCTATTTTTCTAATTATAAAAGTTTAAACTCAAAAAATGGTTAAAACAACTAGATTTATAAATATATGAAAATTTTGAAAATGGACGATCTAGATAATGGGTTGCAAAATGTACTATTTTTTAGACTCAAAATCTTATATATAGGCATCTTGATGCCAAGAAGATAAATGAGAGGGTTTTAAAACATTAAAACGACCTTTTTTGGTGGATTTTTTATGTGCAGTTTTATTTCTATATTTTAAAGTTGCAACCCTATGTAAACGTTTTCCTTTACAAAAAGACATGGTTTCTACGAGTCCATGTAGAAATGAGTCACCTCTTAAAAATATATTTTTTAGATGGATTTTTTGATGTGATTTTGAAGGACATGTAATCTCTATCATGGATATCATGAATATGAAAATTAAATAAATATTGATAATTAAAAATAATATTTTATTAACAAAACATTTGAACCGTTAGTTTCAATTATTTTTAAATTGACCACCTATTTACATCCATATTTAAATTGGATGCTTTATACCTTGGGGACCGCAAAAGTAGAAATACGGTCCCCACCGCATGAAACAATTTTCCTTTACAAAAACAAATTGTTGGCACATGTATCCATGAGGCATTAAGTTGCCTCACCTATTTCTACAATCCTTATCTACTTTTATAGGAGGAGTCCCATGTACATTTATAGTTATCTATTTGAAAATGATTTTGTTACATGCAATATATAAATAAATAATTTATTTTCTCAAAGTTTTTTAGCGTTCATGTGGATAAGCATCCTTGAGATTTGGGAGTCTGTTTCTCATAGATCCGTCAAGAAAATTAACGTTGAGCGCATCTTATTTACTATAAGTATGGGAAGTGAGAGAGAGGGAAACACAACAAAAATTACATAGCCTCTAGTTTATAGAAAAGCTTCTCTTCTCTCTCTAAAATGTTTCCTAATAAAAAAACTAGGCTCTGCAATTACAGAGCCTCACGGCACACCCCTCTAGGATCTCGGCTTGGTGCTCATCTTCGCTCCATCAATTTTGGTTTCACAAACTAAGGTCAATATATGACTCTGTTAGCCGAGACCAAGGCAACAAGATTAGCTATTATTCCGCCGAGACCGAGGCAATAAGATTAGCTGTTATTCCATGGATTTTAAAGGCATGAAGATCTAAGATCAATAAAAGAATGACCAGTAAACCTCATGGGTGAAGTTGGCTAAGGTTACCAGATGGAAAGAATGACCAGTAAACCTCATGGATGAAGTTGGCTAAGGTTACCAGTGAATGATGGGTTGAATTTGAGGTATCCGTGGACTGGACTATAGGTGGCAATCTTAATGACCTAAGATCATCTGAAATTTTCATGATTAGTAGAGATGTCTCATGGCATTTTGTTCAAATATCATGTAGTTTGGTGGTATATCAAGGGTGTTTACCAAAATAAACTGGGTCTTCTGACCAAATGAGCTATTGGAAAGCCACCCACGACATGGACTCCTCATTATTTGATATATGATGAGTTAAAAACCATTTTAGATCCTAAATTATGAATGAAATTATGGACGGAAACCGTACCAAAAAATTTAAATAAGTCGATCCCCCCATTTGATATATTTGTGAACAAATTATATTTTGTTAGCTACTGACGTGGACCACCACGAAGTGTGGAAAAATTGGGCGGTTCAAAATCTAACAGCCCGGTTAAATCGGCACTAGCTACAGACCAGTTGCGGTTTTGGTGAACTGGCCGGATATTTTTTTAAAAAAATTAAAAATTTATATAAAATCCAAAAAATAAGAGATTTTATTTGCAATGTATTTTTTAATGCTTTTTATCGTTTTGGAAAATGTTTTGCCATTTTCCCATTTTTTATAAATTTCAAAAATACTTCTTGAAACAAATCGATTCTTTAAAATCCATTTTTTCATTAATTTTCAATTTCATTTAGATGTGTTTTGTTTAATCATGCTTTAAATCTATTTTTATATTTTATTTTATATTTTTCTATTTTTTTAACAAATTTTTTTACCGCCCGAGACTTCTTCGGTTACGCTGGTTGAGCTGACCGATTTACCGATTAGGCTGGTTGAACCGCTTCTGACCCCATGTCCAGCTCAATTTTTCCTAGACTTCCACCGTGTGCAACGTCGCTGCATGTTTCATTAAAGTTTTATCACAACCTCTAAAGAAAGAGGTTAAAACAAAGCATAGGCTTTATGACAAAATGTAAAGCCACACCTCATATTTCATTAAAATTTGCAGTTTTGCTATAGAAAAACCTTTAAATAGATAATCTCGATCTTGATAATTATGGGTGTGAAAAAAAAAAAAAAGAATGTTGAGCCCTAAAGTTAGTCTATATTGTAATATATTATCTAGACCGTTATTTTCATATGTTCACAAATCCACGACATCTACCGATTTTTGAGCTACAAAATTTGTAATTGGTGATGGGAATAGATTTGAGATTCATCATAGCATATTTCAAATCCGAAGTATTTTTTGGACAAGGTTTTGAGATGAGGCTTTACTTTTTCTCATAAGGCCTAAGCCTAGAAATCACAACCTTTTCTAATATGAGCTAAACATGTTAAAACTACGGACAAGTAATTACTATAGATCGTATGATCCACAGACACGAGCATCGATGAGGAAAAAGGTTGCAACATGCAATGAAATTAAGGGTGGATACATACACAAGCAAAGTTATTTATTTTTCTTTTCTCTTTTTTTTTTTTTTTTTTTTTGTAGATAGGGTTTTGATGTGTTATAACAGCAGCTATTCAGATGCAATCACTTTTAAAACTAATATTATAGATGGAAATTAGAACTCAAATTTCACAGGTCTATAATCTCGATTGATATGGTCATGAACAATGAAAAAATTGGGGTGGGGGAGGTCTTTGAACCTTAAAAGTAGATTATTTTATTTTATTTTATTTTACTTTTTTTTCATTATACATCATTGATTATTTCATCATTGATTATTTTATACATTATCATTTGAACTATGAAATCATGGATATAGGGATATAATGAATCTAGAGTGACTTAATGTGTGTTCTAGATCCTGAATCCGTATTTGAGATGGATGTTTAAGAGGGGACCTCATCAAAATAGGACCTCATTTATTTATGGTTTGGTATTGAGTCCACATGATGTGAACGCTCCAAAGGTGCACAAGCACCTTTTAATGGCTCAAACTGAAGCCTCATCCAAGGGCCAAAAATGAAATTTGTTTTTATTTTAAAATTTTATTTAAAAATTACATCAATCCAGATTTTGGTATATAGATTCATTTTTATAAGTAGAATTTAATAAAAATATAAAAGTATCGATCAAAATAAATTCAAGAGCACTTTACTTATTTATTATTTAAAGTATTTATAATTAATTATTTTTACTTAGTAGTCTCTATAAAAATAACCATACATCCCAAATTAAAATAAATATATTATTTAAATAATATATATA